TCAACGCTAAACAACTTCGTTGGGCGGACTTCTTTGCTAAGTTTCGATTCACTCTTCGTCATTTCCCTGGGACGGCTAATTCCCTGGCTGACGCGCTCTCACGCCTCCCACAACATGACAGTCAGCGTGAAATCATCATGGACTCTGTTTTTTCCCCCTCCCACCTGGGGGGGGCTGTGGTCACCCGTGCGCAAGCGCGCTCGATTCCGCGCTCTGATGAAACTTCGCCTTCCCTTTTCCCTGGGGGGGGGGGGGCTGGGTCCAGAAATATATGTCTGCTTTTACTGCTGATGATGATGCCTCCCTGAAAGCGTTGCCAGATTGTGTCCGTAGCCCTGAAGGTCTGATTTATTCTGGAGACAAACTGTATGTGCCTATTTCAATGAGGAGGGAGGTGATGGAGTCTGCTCACGGTTCGAAACTGGCAGGGCATTGGAGTTTTGTTAAATCTCTGCAACTCATCCGCAGACAGTTCTGGTGGCCACAGATGCGCAAAGACCTCTTGACTTTTGTTCGGTCCTGCCAAACCTGTGCCTTGACTAAACCCAGAGTGGGCAAGCCTCCTGGTCTTCTGCAGCCACTCCCTACCCCATCGAGACCGTGGGAAGTGGTGTCCATGGACTTTATTACTGACCTCCCTGCGAGCAAAGGGAACACTGTTATTTGGGTGGTTGTTGATTTATTTTCTAAGCAAGCTCATTTTGTGCCTTTTCCTTCCTTGCCTACAGCTCAGAGGTTGGCGAAATCGTTTATGTCTCACGTGGTGAAAATTCATCAATTACCTGCTAAATTAATTTCTGACAGGGGGACCCAATTTGTTTCTAAGTTTTGGAGGGAACTTCTTTCCATTTTAGGGGTGGAACAAGGGCTCAGCAGCGCGTATCATCCTGAGACTGACGGACAAACAGAACGAGTTAATCAGACCCTGGAGCAATATCTTCGTTGTTTTACTAATTATCAACAGAATGATTGGTGTGAATTGTTGCCTCTTGCTGAATATTGTTATAACAATACTGTCCATAGCTCCACGGGCATGTCTCCTTATAAAGCTGTCTCTGGTTACGACAGCCCCCCCTCCCCTTCCTCGAAGGGATGGGGGAACGTCCTGTGGGGGGCGCTGATAAATGGTGTATGTCCTTGCAAAATGCATGGCCTCTGCTATGCCAAACGCTTGACGCAGCCAAGGCTGCTTACAAGACCCAGGCAGACAAGGGTAGGGTGGTGGGGTTTGATCTGAAACCTGGGGATCTTGTGTATGTCTCGACCAAGAACATTAAGATGCTGCGACCTAGCAGGAAATTGGGGTGGAAGTTCATTGGTCCATTCAAAGTGCGTAAAGTCATAAATGATGTGGCGGTTGATGTTGTTTTGCCTAAGAATTTACGTGCTCTGCATTCTGTTTTTCACATGAGCCTGTTGAAGAAGGATCCTGGCCCGTCTCCCTGGAGACCAGCAGTTACTCCTCCTCCACCTGTCATTTTGGAAGGGGATGAACATTTTGAGATCGCTGATATCCTTGATTGTAAATTGAAACGTGGTAAACTCTGGTACCTTATCGAATGGGTTGATTTCGGTCCCCAGCACCGCGAATGGGTGGAAGAAGGGGATATTCGGGCCCCTTACCTGATCCGTAGTTTCCACAAGAGGTTCCCGGACAAACCGGGAGGTCTCCCGCCCAGCCCGGGAGATCTCCCGCCCGACCCGGGAGGTGTGTTGTAAGTGTATTTTAAGGGGGGCAGTATGTCAGCAAGCTGCCATTCTGTTTTCTGTGACCTCTGTGTACATATCCTTTCCCTGTTGCACCCGGCTTGTTTTCTATCATCCTGCTCCTGCGTTGGAATGCACAAGATAACTGCTGGAGGTTGTGTGGGGGAGAAGATGCTGTAATGCTTGCCTATTGCTTTTCTCATGAGTCCTGCACCTGTGTTTTGTCTGATGTTCTGCCTGGTTCCCATGGACTGGGCGCGCAACCGTTTCATTAGCCCGCCAGCGGGAATGCTATTCATTGGATCTGTATCTGTTTGAATTTCCTTTATTATGCTTGACCTAACTGTGTATCCCCAGTTCTAACAAAGAACGTGTTTGAGTATGTCTTCAACGCTTTGAAATAAATTTTGCTTTTCTTGAAAACGTGGATTTATTCTCGATGCTTGGGGATCCAACAATAGGCTGGAACAGTGGGCTGAGACAAATAAAATGAATTTCAATAGAGATAAATGCCAAGTCCTACACTTAGGTACAAAAAAATCAAAGGCACAGATATAGAATGGGAGGGACTTGGCTTGACAGCAGCTCCTGTGAAAGGGATCTGGGTGTTCTGGTTGATCACAAGCTAAACATGAGCCTGCAGTGTGATGTGGCTGTGAAGAAAGCTAATGCAATCTTAGGATGCATTAACAGAAGCATTGTGTCCAGATCAAGGGACGTGGTAGTTCCGCTCTATTCTGCTATGGTCAGGCCTCACCTGGAGTCCTGTGTCCAGTTTTGGGCACCACATTTTAGGAAGGATGTTGACAAGCTCGAGCGTGTCCAGAAGAGGGCAACCAGGATGGTGAGAGGGTTGGAATCCAAGTCCTGTGAGGAAAGGCGGAAAGAGTTGGGTATGTTTAGCCTGGGAAAGAGAAGGCTTGGAGGGGACATGAATCTGGGGGGAGCGCCTCCCTCCAGGCTGTTTGCTGCCCAAGGAGGCCCTGCTTGAGTTGTGGCTGGGATGCCATCCTCCGAGCTGGATCCCGGATAGGGGTGGGGCTTCGTCTTCCTCCCTCCCCCATCAGCCCCGGGGAGACCCCATCACAGCTGCCTGCCCCCCCCCCGTTTGCTTGCAGTGGAGTCGCTCCTCCTGCTCTCTTGTCCAGCCAACTCAAGGAAACGGCAAAGGAAAGCAAAAGGTCTCGGGGGGTGGTGACTCCTGAGCTTATCAGCTTTATGTCACTTTAACTGTGAGGGTTTCTTTCAAAGAACTCTGGTCAGGGGAGTGCAGTTGGGTTGGAGGGCCTCAGCTTCCCTCATAGAACCACAACCTCTTGGGGGGAAAGGAGAACACGTGTGCCCCACAGAGGTGAGTGGATCCCCCTGGGCAGAGTAAAAATAACGTTCGTGAGTTCAGTTTGAAACTTGTTAGTTCAGAAGTGGTCTCACAAGCCACAGGATGGAGCCTGGATCCTTGAACATGTTAGTTCCAGGGTTTGCAAAGAAAATAGACAACACTCAGAAGACTGTCCCCCCCCCCCGACTTTTAGCACAGATATAGGCTGTCTTCCTTATCTTTTTTCCTTGTTTTTTGTGTGTGTGTGTGAGTGAATATGTGTGTGTGACTTGAGATGTTCATTATGGTCTCCTGCTGGGTGATTTCCTTCAGAGGCTTCTACCAAGGATCTCACTTTAATCAGTAATAGACTAGTTTTGCTGCAAATATTGGTTAGCCATTCCTTTTCTAGGTTTGGAGCTCAGAATAGTTGACTGATGGTTTCTTAACAGCTGCTAACTGGTTGTCTAGAAATAGCCCCTGGCTGATTCTAAGTGTCCACCTTAGCTTGGAGGAGATGGGCACTGCCAGCCGAAGGGAGGGGCATGGATCTATGTGTGCGGAGGAACTCCATGTTAAAGCTCTCTTCACAGTATCCTGTTCTGTATTATGGCATCTTGATCGTTTCATAACATTGATTGTTTCACGATGGAGACAACCGTTTCACAAAACTAGAAATTTTTGAAAGTCGAAGACAATTTGCAACACCGGTAACTGCCAATTTAAAAATTAATCAGGTCATGTTGATAAATTTAAAAAAACACAACTTTGTTGCCTGCCTGAGAAATAAATATTACACAAGGAAGGACCCAAAGCAGTTATGAATTGGACTAGGTTGAATGAGAACTGAATGGAAACTTTCATTCAGGCTGAAGACAAGAGAGTCCATCTGGATGACAGGGGGAAAAGTCCCACTAGCACTGAGAGTAAACAGAAACGGCAAAACAGGAGGACATCTAGCTTGCCACCAAGAGGGGAATCCACAGGTTAATGCCAAGCCATTCACAACTCTGGGTGGGTTGGTAGGTGGTGGATTCAATGGAGACAAGGCAGTGAGTGGCAGGCACTCCATGGCTGGCAAAGAGCCACACTCATCATTGCCACCAACCAACAGAGGAGGAGCCCTGGTTTCTGTCCTTGGCATGAGGCCTGTTCCTCGGGGAAGCTCATCTGGTCCTCTGCCAGGAACTGTTTCAAGGTAGGAGCCACCGCAAGCCCACCCGGGCAAGAGCCATGCCCATTTCCCTGAAACAGGGGGAAGGTGCCACGTTGGTGTAAAGGGGGAGGGGGCGTGGGAGTCATTGCTGCCCCCTGCCAAGCCGTCAATGCTGGAGGTGGGTGGGGGCACAGGAGTTGTCATCATTACCCCTCAGCACCCAGCCAGCACCCCTGGGGGTGGGCAGGAGAAGGAGCAGTGGGGGCCCAAGCCATGGTGGGAGCAGCCTCCGGGAGTTTCTTGCAGGTCGCCACTGCTTTGGTTTTAATTAGTAGATCAGTTAATGGCCTTTGAACCTTCTCATCAGTTCAGAAGTTACCTGATCAGGCAGGCAAATAATTACAACTCGGTCAAATAATAAGTTCTATGATCCATTCAAACGAGATCCTTAAAATAAATACTTTATTATCATGACTATTAGTGTAAGAAAACCACAGCTTTTAGAATACAGGAGAGTATTTATTTAGAGTTCTGTGAGTTAAAGCTGCATGCAACCTGATTCTATGCACATTTTCTCAGTAGTAAATCCACTAAATTGGCTTCAACGGAACTCACTGCATAGGAACCCAGCCTACAATTCAATTCACTGCATGCTTACTCAGTGCAGTGGCACTTACTCCCAAGAATATGGGAATCAGATAGAAACTTTAGCTTGTTTCATTGAAGTTATTATTAGTAATAACAAAGAGTTTAACAAAGTTTGAGTCTATTCAGGCACCTTGAAGACCAACAAAATTTTATTCTGCGTATAGGCTTTCCACCCAGAATAAAACTTTGTTGGTCGTCAAGGTGCCTGACTGGACTCAAACTTTGTTCAGCTGCTTCCGCCCAACATGGCCACTCCCCCCAATCTACCATTCTAATGCAATTGTCTTCAATGAAACTGCTAGCAAAAAGGGGGGGGAATGAGCACACCCTCATTTCAGCCAGCATCTAGAGTCCTTTTTAATGACAGCCCATCAGAAAAGACTACTTTTATATTAGGGAGAGTTTCAAAAACAGTTATTTGTGTGGTGTGGGGACCCTGCCGTTGAACAAGAGCAAACAAGAGCACTGCGCAGACGTAAGCCCTTCAACCTCTCCAGCTGCCTTGGAGTGAGTCAGACCTCTGGACTGCCCAGCACAACATTGCCCACCCTCCCGGCCGGCACCAGGGCCAAGAAATGCCCTCCCCAGCACTTGCTGCTCTGGGCCCTCTGCACCTGGAAACCCCCAGGACTGGAGCGGGAACCTCCTTCCTGCAAAGCACCCGAGCAAGCCCTCGACTTTACTACGAAGCGTCTGTTTGGGTCCCCAGTGGGCCGCCACTGTGTAATAAAGATGCGGAAACACAAGTCTAATCCATCATGGCTGCTCTCACGGTATTTTAATCATGTTAGGGGAAAACCCTCGAAGTCCTGCTGCATCCCGTTCAGATAACTAAATGGAGTGACTGCTCCCTCCGGTTCCACGTCAAATCTAGTTGCATTTACAGTATAAATGGAATCATAGCTGCTTTCCTCCACCTAGAGAAAGTCCCCCTCTTCAGGTACAGCTGGTGCTTCTTCCGAGCCCAAAGGGCCATCTGGATTGCCATCAGTAATGCAAAAACGCCCACTGGAAAGAGGGGAAAGAGACAGTTTCTTGAGTCAGTCCAAGATTGCTCATTTTCAGGAGGTAGCCATTCCTCCAGGTGGAAAACACTAACTTGGGCTGGAACATACCCATTATTATGAGGAGGGAAGGCAATGTTTTGGCACTTTGGCAGGTGCTGATTTATGGTGTTGCTTTATATGCCTTACATAGTTATTGAAAGCGGGAGGGAACAGATGCACGGGCATGCTTGAAACTGCCTGAGACAGAATCAGACCACTGGACTCCATCAATGTCGGCATTGCCTACTGAGCCAGAATCTCAGGCAGAGGAAGGTCTTTCACGCCACTTCCTACCAGACCCTTTCAACGGGGGAGGCTGCCGGGGACTGAGCCTGGGCATTTCTGCATGCCAAGCAGAGGCTCTTCCACTGAGCCACAGCCCTTCCCGCTGGGAGCAACCTTATGCTGCTTATCTATTAAATGGCTGGCTCTTACCTGGCAGAGTTTGTGTCATTAACGTAAAACTAACCCAAGAGCCGATCTGTTGCAAAGAAAAGAAAAACAGGAACTACATTGAAATATAAAGAGCTGCCCACAAGACAACCAGAATCAAAGCAGCCCTCTTTGAGGCTTTGGGAAAGGCTTTCACCGGAGTGGCATCCCTGCAGTCTCAGAGACGAAGATTGGCAAGGCCTGGAAAAGGAGCGGACAAACTGAGCTGAAGGGACACACACCCGGCCGGCCGGCCAGAGAGACCTGGCAGAGGAGTCAGAGGGAGCTGAAGGGACCCAGCATCAAAACTCAAGCTCCGGGAAGCTAAGAAGTGTGGAAGGAAGGAGAGGCTCACCGTTTTGCTCAGGCATCCAAGAAACTGAGCTTTTTGCAAATCTTTCCAAACCTAGAGATACCACCCTCCCGGTAGGGCCTGGAGACCTCCCAGGATTACAACTCCAGACTACAGAGATCAGTTTTCCTGGAGAAAATGGCTGCTTTGGAGGGTGGGCTCAGTGCACGGCATGGTGCCCCCCCGCCGAGGTCCCTTGCTCTCCTCCCCGGGCTCCACCCCCAAATCTTCAGGCATTGCCCAGACCAGGGTTAGCCACCCATTACAAATCTCATCTATCTGATGCCGGCAAAGCAGTTGTGTTACGATGGAACTAAATGCTCTTCTGTAGAACAAAACTTCTTTTTTAAATGCAAACACCTTGACGAGCCAGCAAGCTGTGCATAAACTCCTAGACTGGATCAGTGCTCTTTGCAAGATCTCAGCTTGCATGCAAGTGAATTAAGGACAAATCTGAATGAGGTCCTGCCTGAAGACCTCGCCAGAATTCAGTATGCCGACACCACTTCCTTAGCTTAATAACCCAGGCACGAAGGAGAGGTGCAGAAAGGAGGGTACCTCGTAGGTATAGTTTGGACAGGAGACCAATGTAAACAGCCACGTGAAAGGGTTGATTGATGGGCTTGGAAAAGAGGCTTTGTTTCCTTCAGGAAAGGAGAGAAAAGCAAATGTTCAGTATAATTTGCTCAGGTATTAGAAGACATTTACCAGCTTCGGCTGTTGTGGTTCTCAGCCAAAAATATTCTCAGAACTTGGCTCTGAGGAATAAGCCACCGTTTCACTCTTCCCTCATCCATAGCTCTTTCTCTAATTATTACAGAAGCATTCCCTAAGATTATTTTATCTACTTTCATCTTACTTATTTAACTTCATTTATACCCTTTGTCTCCAATGGGGACCCAAAGCAGCTTACATCATTCACTTCTCCTCCAGTTTATCCTCTGTGAGGTAGATTAGGCTGAAGCCATGTGACTGGCCCAAAATCACCCTGCAAGCTTCATGGTAGAGTGCACATTTGAACCTGGGTCACCTAGATCCTAGTCTGACAGTGTAACCAGTACTCACATTAGATTATGTAAGAGTTGCTATCTGCATGCATCTCTTTCTCCCTTTTCTGTTGTGTCTTTTTGTACCATGTATTGGGGTCTGTATTGGAAAGATAAGTGCAAAGTCCTACAGTTAGGGACAAAAAATCAAAGGCACAGACATAGAATGGGAGGAACTTGGCTTGACAGCAGCAGCAGCACATGCGAAAGGGATCTAGGTGTTCTGGTTGATCACAACCTAAACATGAGCCTGCAGTGTGATGTGACTGCAAAGAAAGCTAATGCAATCTTAGGGTGCATTAACAGAAGCACTGTGTCCAGATCATGGGAGGTGGTCGTTCCGCTCTATTCTGCTATAGTCAGGCCTCACCTGGAGCCCTGTGTCCAGTTTTGGGCACCACATTTTAGGAAGGATGTTGACAAGCTCGAGCGTGTCCAGAAGAGGGCAACCGGGATGGTGAGAGGGTTGGAATCCAAGTCTTATGCGGAATTGCTGAAAGAGTTGGGTATGTTTAGCCTGGGAAAGAGAAGGCTTAGAGGGGACATGATTGCAGTCTTCAAGTATTTGAAGGGTTGTCATGTAGAAGATGGAGCAGATCTATTCTCTCTTGCTCCGGATTGCAAGACTAGATCTAATGGGTGGGAATTAAAAGGGAGTCATTACCGGCTAAGTATCAGGAGAAACTTCCTAACTGTAAGAGTGGTTGAGCAGTGAAACAGTCTGCCTCGGGAGGTGGTGAATGCTCCTTCGCTGGACATGTTCAAGCGGAGGCTGGATGACCATCTTTCGGGTATGTTGTAGGGTTATCTTTCAGCTCTGCTCCTGCACAGTGTAGGGGGTTGGGCTAGATGACCTGCAAGGTCCCTTCCAACTCTAACATTCTATGATTCTATAAGTGCCTGGGGTGTACAGGAAGGAAGGTGCTACAGATACATACTAAACATGTAAATAAATGGTTTCGTCCAAGGCACTGCAAGGCAAAGAAAGAGCCATTCTGGATCAATCCATACATAAGGAGGGATGAGGGTACACACAAGAACACATGAAGCTGCATTATACTGAATCAGACCTTTGGTCCAGCAAGGTCAGTATTGTCTACTCAGACTGGCAGCAGCTCTCCAGGGTCTCAGGAAAAGAGGTCTCTTACATCACCAACTGCCTGGTCCTTTCAACTGGAGATGCTGCCAGGGATTGAACCGGGGGCCTTCTACATGCCAAGAAGATGCTCTGCCACTGTGTCATGGCCCCTCCCCAAGGGTAGTCATGCTATGCTGTGTAAG